GCCTGTTTTGACCTCTTGGACCTCCCTTAAGAGGGAGGCGTTTGGTCCGAGGACTTTCTTTAGGGCTGTGAGGATTGCAAAAGATCCAGCGCTTTGGGCTGGGTGTATTTGGTTGATTCGTACGAATAAGCGGTTATCGGAGGGAGTCTTGTTTGTGAGGGCAATGGTTGGAGTAGAGGCTTTTTGAATGTAGGAGGGCTTGGGGCCTATAGGCATTGTAGGTGTACTTGTGTAAATGGTGGTCGGGGGGGAAGGAGGGGAAAGGGGGGTGACAGGTGGAGTAGTAGCTCCCCTAGGGGGGGGATGACCAGTAACAAAGGTGTCGAAGTGCTGTTCGATGGTTGCCTTAAACTCAAGGCAAAGGGAGGTGAGGAGTTTTCGTGAACTCGGTGGGAGAGCGCGGACTTCCTCAGAGCCTAGGTAGGTATCTAGGAGTTGGGTAACTGGGTTGAAGATGGATTGAGCATCGTTGACCTTATTGAGAAGGTTGCTGGCCTTGTCGGAAAGTGTTTTAGAGAGGTTTGGGGGGCTTGGGGTAGCCATCGTTTTCTTAATGAACAAGAGTAGCGAGTTTTCCTGTGATTAAATACAAACGGGGCATGCCACGTGACCCGAAGGTGTGAGGCGTCACAGCGATAATAGTAGATATTTTTAAAATTAATTAATATATTTTTGTTTCTATAATTATTTATCTATATACTTATTAATTTAATTTAATTTCGGAAAAATTATTGATGAAATATTGTTACACCGAGTAACAGGAAACTTTCACGTGCAATCAATATCACGTGATTGGCTCAGTGAGGATCAGTGAGCTCAGTACTGAGCTGCATTGATCCTACTGAGTAGCCATCGGCACGAAGGTCTATATAATCAAGATGGATTTCCTTTGTATAGAGCTTCGTGCTCAAGATCAATCATTTAGTATACTCTACTATTAGTTACGAATTGCATATCATTATTGTCATTACTTTAAGTCCCTGCTTGACGTCTAGTTATAAACCACCTCGAGAGCCTAGAGCACTTCCACGTGATCTAGACGGCAAACCTCGTAACATATAATTATATAACTATAGAAAAGTTATTGAGAAAATATTTAAAAGTATTAAATTTACAAAAATTTTAAAGAATTTTAAAATCTTTTACAGAATTGTATATTATACTATTTTGAAAAACTTGAAATATATCAATAACATAATTTTACTTAAAAAACCCTAAAAGAAATTATATTCAAAATGAAATAAATAACGTGGTTTATCATCGAGTGGGCCACTTTTCCCTCAATTCACACCTTCAAACCTATATTATTCAACAATCATTAAATCAATTGATTAAAACTATTAAGAATCTAATAATCTAGGATCCATTACATTGTTTTGACAAGTTCTTGAATTATGACCCGGTTTTCCACACTTACTACAACATCTATTAGAAGATGCTTCCCCATTAGAATTCCCCCCTTTTTGACGCTCGTCGCGTTGAATCTGAATATCAACCTCTTGCTGAGATAATATATCAAGAGCCTCTTGTCCGGTGAGTACTCCTCCTTGACGTAATTGGGTTTTTTTCGCGCGTCGACGCTTGCTTAATGCTTCATTTGCCTTCCGAAGTGTACGAATCTCTGCATTCAAAAGTGTATTTTCATGAGCTAATCTCTCTGTACCCTTAGCTAGAGCTAGTACAGTCTCGAATATAGGTGTAAAGGAGCTTGATTGATGACGGGTTATTCGAGATTTCACTAAAGTTGATTGAGAAAGAGCTTCAGTTGGGTTGCGAGGGGTTTGAGAGATCCATTGATCTAGGTTGAAAAGAGGGGGGGTAGGTGTGCGAATTCGAATATCTAATTTCGAAAGTACAGCTTTAGGATTAAATGGTATTAAACCTGTTCCTCGAAACCCTGATTTCATATTCTGAGAGGTGATTGATTCTTCGTATGCAGCTTTAAAAGCCATAAAGAATTCAACCTTCGAAATATGATTGATATGTGCCTTGATAAACCCATCAATTTGACCACCATATGAACGTTTCAGATTACTGAAACAGCCAACATCAAGTGGCTGAGTTAAATGACTTGAATGCGGTGGTAAACATAAACATATAATATCATTTGCTTTACAATATGACTGAAAAGCTATTGATTCATAACTTTCGTGTCCATCCAGCACTAGCATTCGATATTTGCCCTTTCTTCGATGAATTGTATGCTTGTCGAAGTGCTTTAACCATTCCAACCCTGTCTCATTGTTTGTCCATCCATTAGATATAGGTTTAATAGCCCATTCCGCAGGAAGATTGGTTTCGATGTACCAATTGGAGAGATGAACCTGTCCTTGAACCACTAGAAATGGAGGAATAGTTTCACCCTCTCCATTGCCACATATAATTGCTGTAGCCCACTCTCGATTGCCTGGCTGTACTGATTTACTTCCGCCATGTCTTTCGGCACTAGTAACAACCATTGCTGCACTTATAATGCCTATCATAAAGCCTGTTTCATCGAAATTGTAGAAATCGCCGTCCAAAATGCCGTATTTCGCTCGCATATTCGCAACCAATCGAAACCACTCTTCAATAAGCTTAGGATCTTCGCAGAGAGCTCTTTGAAAGTCATAAACACGACTAAAACGCGTCTTTAATTCGATTCGACGCTTTACGAATCGATGCGCCCAGAGCTTTCCAACACGCTTCGTACCCCTCGATTCAAGAATATAATTCGCCATATCTTCCACATTCTTAAGTTTAGGTGGAAAACCTCTCGAATCCATATCAAGAATATATTGAACAATCACTTCCTCTTCCAATTCTGTAATATTATGACGATTCGCTCGAGTTTCTGTACGAGGTGGTAAACCATCCATTCTGTGTTGAAGAGTCGTACGAGGGATATTATAGAGCTTAGAAGCTTTTCGAATGCTTAGTTTTTTATCTTTATGAATAGCTTCGATAGCAAGAAAGATTCGGGCTTCTTGATTAGTTGATTCCATAATAATTGATTGATAAATCGCGTGTAGAAGTTGAAGGTGTGAATTGAGGGAAAAGTGGCCCACTCGATGATATGGCCCACTCGATGATAAACCACGTTATATTATTCTGTTAAAAGGAATGACCTTACACAGGGAATAGTGGGAAGCTGATAGGGCAGAACTGAGGCTATATTGGCCTTCTACGTAAATCACCCATAATCTTAGTTCTACGGAAGTGCGAAGCTCTCTGTCACGATTCACCATTAGGATTGATGGTGTTACGATGGTAGCAAACTGATTAATTAGGAGAGCTTAGGCCTTGTGCAAACACGATCAGATTTCATCGAATTAGTATGTGATCTTGGTCACCTGAAGATCGTGTATGCACGCACCATCAGAAATCACGTGATAAGGAGCCCTAGGAGCCCTGAGGAGCCAGAAAGCTCCTAGGGGCTCCCTTTATCGTTCATTATATAGTCAGAGTAGTTTCATAGTTTAGGAGCTTCGTGCTCAACTTAGTTATCAATTAGTTTACCTACACTCTACTTGATCTAGTAACGAATTCACTTTCAAGTGAATACCGGTGATAAAGCCTTAACCCATAACTACCAACCAAACGAAACCTTAGGCAGCCGCTGCCTTCAGTACAGTATCGTTACAACTAGATTGAGAAGCTCTCTGTAGGAGAGCTTCGCACTTCCGTAGAACTAAGCTGATGGGTGATTCTTATAAAAGCCAAAATAGCCTCAGATCTGCCCTATTAGCTTCCCACTATTCCCTGTGTAAGGTCATTCCTTTTAACAAAATATATATTTTTGAAATATTTCTTAATATTATTGAAAATAAATATACTTTAGAATATACTAAATAGAAATTAGAAAATGTTTTATAAGCAATTTGGAATATATTAAATAATAAATTATTTTTAAAATTAGAAATTAATATATCAAGAAAAATGAAGATTTATATTGTAGTTGAAGATTAATATATTAAATATTGAAAAATCGAAGTAAAATATATAAATAATTATTAATTATTATTAGATTATATATTAAAATCTTAAATATATCAAAATTCTAGATCAAAATAATGAAAGATTGATTTAATAATTTATTTTGAATAGAATAATATTGATAACCAATTCCAAGTAAAATCTAGAGCGGTTGATAGGAGTTGGCAAGTACTGTAACATTTGGTCTTACAAATCCCCACTTCCCATACCTACAATCCAACAGTGACAAAGTCTACGCCGCAGTTGGTATGGTATATTTTAGGCCAAACTACCCCTTTCGACCTGGACACCGAGTATAACGGTCAATTATGATGTGAGAGGCTCCTGCCTTAGTTTGTTGCACTGTGAAGTCCAAAATATAGCGCCCTGATTCCATCAAGACTCTTCACCCCAATCATACCCTTCTCATCAAAAGATCACAAACTGTATCCAAAAGCCATGTCTTCAAATTTTATCACACTTGCAAAAGGTCTGGAGGGAAAAGTCTTTGAGCCAGACAGTGATGTTTATGATGCTTCTTTGAAGTCTTATTTTACTCTTCAGGAGGCACAGCTTGAACCATCCTTCATCATCGCCCCTAAATCTGCTGAAGATGTCGCTCAGATTCTAAAATCCTTGAGAGCCATAAACTCCGAGATCGAAATTGCTACCAAAGTGGAGGTTAGAGGAGGCGGCCATAGCCCCTTTGCAGGCAGCGCGAATATTGACAATGGCATTACAATTGACCTGCGAAATATTAATGCCGCTGAAGTGAACGAAAGTAAGGGTATTGTTTCAGTCGGAGGGGGAGCGATCTGGGGTCAAGTATATGATAAGCTCGACGCAATGGGGCTTTCTGTGGTTGGAGGCCATGTTTATGATGTAGGAGTTGGAGGATTCACTCTGGGAGGTAAGTATTGTCGTGCCTTTTATTCTACTGTACGATGCTCGTGTACTGATGAGAATCACAGGAGGGTTCTCCTCTTTTTAGCCAAGATATGGCACGTGCTGCGATATGGTTGATAATTTTGAGGTGGTTCTTGCAGATGGTCAAATCATCAATGCGAATGCCAATGCAAATTCGGACCTCTGGACTGCACTCAAAGGAGGCAGCAATAACTTTGGAATTGTGACCCGGTTTGATATAAGAACTTTTCCGCAAGGTAAAAAATGGGCTGGGCTCGTCGTATATCCAATCTCCACCTTGGATGAGAACTTCAAGGCATTCGAAAGTATGCAAAATGATTGGGATCCATATGCTTCGATGAAGTTGAGTATAGCATTTTCATCTCAAACGAAGTTCACTATTGCATCAAAATTCGAATACACCAAAGAAGATAGCGCGCCTGCTGTATTCAAACCTTTCATGGATATCAAGCCCCAGTACAGAAATACAATGAAGATCTCGACCCTTGGCGAAACTGCCAGAGATATCCAGAAAATGCAAGTCAATGGAGTTCGTCAGATCTTTGCTACTACATCCTTTCAATTTTCTGTTGCCAATTTGCAGAACGCGTATGTTCTCTTCGAAAATGCAGCTATATCTGTGGAAGACGTCAAAGGTATACATTGGAACTTGACATACTGGCGTCTCCATGGCTCAATTATCGATAAATCAGCAGTATCTGGAGGCAACTCAACAGGTCTTGATACTTCGCAGGACTCTCTTGTTCTATGCATATTGACCTACTCGTGGGAAGACACATCTGACGATGCACGCATGGATAGAACGGCCAAAAGATTTATCGAGCAAGTTGATGAGTCCAGTAAGAGTGCGAGGTTGTTCAATCGCTATAAGTATCTTAATTACTCGGCGGGCTATCAAAATCCAATCAGTTGATGTGCCGATGAGATGAAGAGCAGCTTGCAAGCAGTGAGCAAGAAGTATGATCCCGAGGGGTTTTTCCAGACCAGTGTTCCAGGTGGCTTCAAGATATCACATTAGTGAATGTTAGTATAAATAGGACATGCAGATCCTAAGGCGATTCAAGGAAAAAAGCTTATCTCGACTTTGACTAGCTAGCATAATGAATTTTGCTCCGAATTTTAATAGGTGCACCGTAACTGTTTCTGCGATCTGAAGGTAACTTTTGCCATTGCCAAGTTCCTGCATCTGCTGCCTCTGGCATGGAACGATGTCTTCCTGATAAAATGTCAACCTCTTTTGAAGCTTTTCTCTTACACTAAAATTATAAAATAACTCGATGTATATAACAATAAATTTATAATTGCCTTCTGATTATTAATATAACATTTACTATGTCGAAGTTGATATGGATATATGTATTTGAAGGGCTGAAAATGAGTTTGGGAGTTAGATAGCTAGACAGTTAGATAGTTAGGGGGAATATTAGATGGGTCCTGGTATTGATAAGAAGTAGAAGAAGTAGGAAAAGAATGAATGTGTAATTATGGAGTGGAAATACCTAGCATATCCTGTAAATGGAGATTTAATTTTACTATGATTGAATGAGATGGAAATTTCAATTTCTATACTATATGATAAGATAAGCAAGCAAGTAGTAAATAAACTTTTATTTTCATATAACTTCTCTATTTCCCTCCTATATACTCCGTACACAACATTTCCCCCATTCCATCTGCTCTCCTTTCTCCCCTGGAAGTCCAACCAACCACCTAGTTAAAAACCACCGTCTTGTGACCATTCAACAAAACCCTCCGCTCAGTAACCCACTTAACCGCCGTCGCCAAAACATTACTCTCCACATTACTTCCCTCAACCGTCAATTCCTTAGGACTAAGACCATGACCCACCCTCACAACATTCTGCTCAATAATCGGACCCTCATCCAAATCACTCGTGACAAAATGTGCCGTGGCCCCGATAATCTTCACACCCCTATCATAAGCCTGATGATATGGTTTCGCACCCTTAAACGACGGAAGGAAAGAATGATGAATATTAATAATCTTTCCACTCATCGCCGTGCACAACGTCGGGGAAAGAACCTGCATGTAGCGAGCCAGAACGATCAAATCGATATTATTCTCCTTGACCAATTCCAAAATTTTAGATTCCTGCTCGGCTTTTGTGGCGGCGGTGACAGGAAGATGATGGAATGGAATCTTGTACGTGTTGGCTAGCGGTTCGAAATCCGGATGATTGGATACAATAAGAGGGACTTCAATACCCAATTGGGAGATACTCTGACGAAAGAGTAAATCATTAAGACAATGACCGATTTTAGAAACCATGATTAAAACACGAGGTTTCTTAGCCAAAGAATCGAGTTGGAAATCCATACTCATGTCTTGAGCGATCGTCTCGAAAGCTCCCTTCAATTCCTCCACGTTCAATTTCTTCGTCTCGGTTTCTGGAGAAGAAGAGACAGATGGTGCGAAGTGCACTCGCATGAAGAAACGCAAGCTGGTTGCATCACCAAATTGTTGCGAATCGACAATATTGAGATTATGCTTGGTGAGGAATCCCGTGACGGCGTGGACGATACCCGGACGATCAGGGCATGAGAGAGTTAGGATATATTCATCTTCCTTAACCATCTTGACTGGTTTTATTGATTCCTTTGCAAAAGAAAAATGTGATGAGCTAGAGAAGCTTCGAGTATTGAGCTGTACTTGACGTCTAGAGGTAGAGGCCAGATGGTGATGAAGGAATAAATTTTTCAAGGGCTCGGTTGTTCTAGAAAAAAGGGAGAAGGTCCTTGTTTGGGGTGCGTGGAGGAATGTGAATTCGCGAGCGGAACGTGATATGTGAGCCGAGTAAATTGAACGAGTTAGATGACCTGTGGTTGTAGATTTCAACAATAATGCCGTCTCAGGCAATTTGCTCGCCATTACAGTTCTTATTAAACACTTTCGATGACTCTTTTTGGCCACCTTTGTGACTATGCTATTAGTGGGCCTCTGGAGGGGCAGCGGGGAGTCATAGCGACACGTGATTCCTTTATCCGGCGATGATTCGGAGACTATTTGTTGTGTGTGGATAAAGCACGGTGTTTTTATTTATTGTTCCAGACTTTTGGGATTTGATATTTCTGGTCAGGTAGTTGAGTATTGAAATGGAACTTCTTAACTTATATGTTGCTACTTATAAGAGCTGGACAATTGATGACAACATGACCACTATGCGGGTGATGTTCCCCTCAATTTTCCTTCCGCATAGTATAGCTACTATGAAGTATACTCTTCGAAGAACTAACTGAGATCCCAAATAGTCTAATGCATTGTCGTTTCCTTTCTAATATATACAAATATATTCTATTCTGTTTATTTTAAAGATCATCATCATTACTCATTCCCCATCATGTTACATAGAAATATCATCATCTTGTTTTGGTTAGACCAAATTCAGAATCAATGCAACGTCTGATTGCCGCCTGCTACTCTCAACTCCCTTCTGAGATCATGTCATGTGCGTTTAATATTCGGCGCCATCGTAATCGCATTGGACGAAGATGGTTACAGATATCTTTTACTACGTCAAGGCGTTGGCAAAAGCTAATGCAATGATATGTATCGAATCTCTTCGAGTGAAAGCCTTACTACTACCTCTTGCTGCTAAGACCCTAAGGTCCAACGTAATCAAGCGCCTAAACCATAACTCTTCACCCTACTCCAAAAGAAAGCCTTATCATTCCTTAATGTAAACTCTCCCCAATCATCCGTTAATCGATTATAATTCCAGAAACCATTCCAAGTCAACTTGTTATTTTTGACTGTCTTTCCTGCACTAGTCATCTTCAACTCCATCCTGTAAAAATATTTCTCATGAACCCCTTCAGTTTCCACATAAAGTGTACCTTCTGATCCGCCAGCTTTCGGAGAAGGATCAATATCCGACTCTAATGAAGGAAATTCGTTGAGAGAGGACAGATGCCAACGGCCGCGGCGAGCATCAGTCATCACTGAAGAGGGTAGATGGGAAGATTGGTTCCTCCTGTGGTACTCAAGAAGCTCTTTAGTCAGGTGGTGAACGACTTCGCTAGGTTCGGCGGTGGTCAATAGAGAAATTAATGTTCCATCGCGATAGAAACGAAGGTAGCGGTAGTAGGTCACAATGTGAACTGGAGAATTCCAAGCTATTGCTGAAGGGGACGCTTGGCCGGGTCGAATATAGTTCACGGTGCTTATGTAGCAGCCATTGAAACGGATGCGCGGACGGAGACGAAACATCTGTCTCCAAGATGAAGAATATGTTGATTGGAGCAGGGACTGAGTTATGGTATCATTGCTGAGGGGCACGAATGGGGTGGATTCTTCATCTGCTGCTTGTGAAGGCAAGAGCAGTGGAGGCTCAATGTCGAGGGCCTCTCCTGTAACCTCTGTTTGCCATCGATAGTGCATTGCCCCAAACCCGAACTCGGAGCCAAAACATATTCGTTTCCATATTTGTTCTCCTGTGGCTATCAGGTATGCCATGCGTTTGCATACTTGGGAGAGTCGTGCAAGCTCTGCCACATCTCGAATTGCTACTTCCTTGAATATTTGTATAAGTATTTCATCTGGTAAATCAGCAATTGGACATGGAGGAGCCGGTGCTCCCTCAACCTCAGGTAGTGTAGGTTCAATCGATAAATCTGAGAAGCTTTCTAACAATTGCTTAATAGATAGTGAGGGCCCATCTAGTGAGTGGTGTGCGGTATTAGGTACTGTGGCAGAGGCATTGGATGGATTTGTACTTGTAGGTTTCGGAGGGAAGGCAGATGGTGGAAAATGTTTGTTCTTATACTTTCGATCAACTTGATCGTCAAGCTTATGATTGTCAGTAGGAGTCTTGTGGATTCTGTTCAGTTGAGACTAAACTCACTCGAAATGCTTTGCGGTAGAGATCAAGGCTGTCTCCCAAACTACCTTGACCTTCCCTCTCTACCGCTTTTTCATAATGCTCCAAAGCTGATTGTGGCTCGTCATTGCCAGTCTTCTTACCATATAGGTCAATCCCATCATCTTCCACTGCCTCAGCGGCGCCACTTGGTCCATCAAAGTGCAAGGCTTGAGGTTCAACTATATTATCCTCTTCTGTGGGTTTTGAATTCTCATGAATATGCTTTGTCCGTGGAAGCTTTCGTGGAAAATTAGAAGGGCCCGCCACCTGAATAGCTGGAGTTGGGAGCCTCTGAACTGTATTTGCCTTTTTGGTTACTTCTTCCTGCCATTGCTTGCGGAATGTTTCTAACTCGGGATTTGAATCTTCCATAACGTACTGGGGGTTTGATGTGGTAGATATTACGGCGTTTTAGGTGATAGTGATCGATTGAAAAGAATATAATTTAGGGAATATTTACCGTTTATCTATATTCGAAGTAAATATTGATTGTGATTAGTCCTCGGTCTGACGCGACAACTTTATCGATCGCCGCTGACATAATTCTAATTCCTCTTATCGCCGCAAGATCCGTTATCGCTCGGTTACTTCGTCCCAAATTTTCTTTGATCGGTGGAGAATTCTTAAGATCGTGGGCAGGAGTCGAAGTTGAAGCTAATAATTTTAACTTTTCGGACTATTCAATTCCATGGCCGTAAGAAGTATACTTAGTATTTAATTTACATCATGATAATCAGTAGCACATTTCCCCTCTTTTTGGAAGATATACAAATACAAATACAAACATAAACACAAATGATCCAACGGCGTTGATCATTTCTTTCCTTTTCCATACATCCCAAACATCCTAAACATCCCACACATACCTTATCTACCTAGCAAACGCTCAAAATTACTCGTCAATTCGACGTCATTCCACCTAAACAAAAACTTTTATGTCCGGCCTTTGGGACAGTCGCCCTACACCTGTGGGTGACCAAATCTCAACAACTTTTGGATCGGAGCATTTGGGACATGATAGAATACACGGCGACGACCTGATACCTGGAGAATCAGGAACTGTAGCTATGACGGGCGACAATGAGGATATTGATATTGATATCACAGCATCCCAAAAGATGATCTCAGCGATGTCGGGAAGCCTATTAACATCACTATTAGGTACGTACGCCACCGGAATTTGGGGCTCATAAACCCTTTCAATATCTAGAGGACCTCCAAACATTCAACTCATACTAACACTTTCATTTGTAGTAACTCCTCTAGATGTTGTTAGAGTCCGTCTACAGTCGCAACCTTCTCCATCTCCCCTATCTGCGATACGAAAAGCCGCTATGGCATCCCCTCAGACTTTCAGCACACTGCAACCAAATCTAGGAATAACAGCATGTTGCCGGGAAGTTTTCTTCACGGGCAGCGCAACGAGCGATGGTTGTATGGCTGCGCCCAGAATCAGCGCAATGGAGGGCGTTGGATGTGCCGTGGAAGAAACAAAAAGAAAGACCTTCAATTCGACCTTCGACGGGATGCGAAAGATTGCACGGAATGAAGGGATCACAACTTTATGGCGAGGATTATCGCCTACTTTGGTTATGACGGTTCCTTCGAATATTATCTACTTTACCGGATACGATTGGCTAAGATTTAACAACCAAAGTCCCATTAATCGAATGCTCCAGGACAATTATGCCCCTCTTGCTGCCGGCGCCTCTGCTAGGACCATAGCTGCTGCAGTAGTCAGTCCAATTGAGCTGTTTAGGACAAGAATGCAAGCTAGTCAAACAATCGGTGGTGCACATTTTTCAGAAACCCTAAAGAGCGTTGGTGAAATGGTTTCACTTCACGGATATACCTCTTTGTGGCGAGGGTTAACATTGACACTTTGGAGGGATGTTCCATTTTCTGGAATTTACTGGTGGGGTTATGAATCTGTTAGAGGGGCATTGACAGATGCACGAGAGCGGGGTCGAGGAAGAACATATGACAGGAACACATCCAGAGGTCAAATGCGTACGAGATCACAAAGTCGAGAAAATCACACAGCGACATTTCTCGATAGTTTTGTCGCTGGAGCGACATCTGGAGCTGTTGCCTCCATCTTGACTATGCCTTTCGATGTTGGAAAGACCCGAAGACAAATTTTTCAGGACCCAGGGAAAACACCTGTGGGAGTTGAAAAGATCCTGGCTCCTGAAGAGCAATCTATGCCAAGATTTCTTATGCACATCTTCAAAGAAGAGGGTATTCGTGGCCTCTGGAAAGGATGTGTAGCGAGGACTCTGAAGGTTGCTCCAGCATGTGCAATTATGATCAGTTGTTATGAAGTAGGGAAAAGAGCATTCAGGAGTGTGAATGAGAAAGCGGAACGGAAGCGAAGATTCGAGTGATAGAACAAAATCTCCCTCCCCTCTTTTTCGGTCGGTTTGGGCGCATAAAAGGAAACACGGAAATGTAATACTAGCAGTACCAGGTGTTTAGAAGCACAGCGATTTTAAGCGGGTTTCTGGAATTTTGTATAATATTAGAGATCATAAAAAATAAGATCACTACAATAGCCTTAATACATTCAAATTCAAAAGCTTGAAAAACAAAAAAAAAAAGCGAAGCAAGCAAATTCATGTCATGATTGTAGTGATTTGGTGAGGAGTGCATGTGCTAACGTCCTGACTGCTGCTATCTAGGTCCCTACAGAGTAGTAACCATAACCACGTTAATTACCCAGCTTTCGTTTGGCTGAGAGAGCGCTGATCTCGCGTACCCCGGCAGAGTAAATTCACGCGTCGAAGGCTCTGGACGCGAAGCCGTCATTATCATAGAAATGGGATATTCAACAGACCACAACATTCAGATTCATATAAAGTTCACTCTCTGCTTATGATATTTGATAGAACAATACCTTCGGTGAAAGTCTTTTTATTACTCCTCTTTCCCAATCGTTCTTTTACTCCATCACCGATCATGTCTTCCAAACGCAAAGCCACCACAAATCCTACAAATGATACGAAAAAGCCTAAAGCAAACGGATCAATTACCTCATTCTTTGGTCCACCAAAAACCGTTTCTTCAACTACGAAAGTCACTGGTACCTCGACGGATACTATTGCCCCAGCTCCAGCGACATTCAAATTCAATAAGGAGAAATGGGTAGCTACATTGACAGAAGAACAGAAAGATCTGTTGAAATTGGAGATTGAGACACTTCATGAGAGCTGGCTGGCGGTGTTAAAAGATGAGATTATGGGGAAAGAATTTCTGGAATTGAAGAAGTTTTTGAAGAAGGAATTAGAGGGAAAAGATAAGATATTTCCTCCCATGGAGGATGTTTATTCTTGGTATTCACATTTGTTCCTTTATCCAATCTTTTTCTTTGCATCATCTACATATTTCTACTGAACCTCAATGACAAGTAACTAATCATACCGAATAAATAGGTCAAGACATACACCTTTCAATACTGTCAAAGCCGTAATCATCGGCCAAGATCCATACCATAACTTCAACCAAGCTCATGGTCTCTGTTTCTCTGTCCGCGCTCCTACACCGGCTCCACCGTCCCTCAAAAATATCTTCAAAGCCCTCGCAAAGGACTATCCAGACTTCAAACCCCCTCCAAATAACGGTGGTCTCCTCACTCCATGGGCGGACCGTGGTATCCTTCTCTTAAATACCTGCCTTACAGTTCGAGCTCACCAAGCCAACTCTCACGCAAACCATGGCTGGGAGAAATTTACCCAGAAAGTCATAGATACAGTTGCTCTTAAAAGAACAAAAGGAGTGGTGTTTTTAGCATGGGGAAGTCCTGCGGGAAAAAGAGTCGCAAAGGTGGATAAAAATAAACATTGTGTTTTAATGAGTGTACATCCTAGTCCGTTGAGCGCGAGTAGAGGATTCTTCGAATGTCAACATTTCAAGAAGACGAACGAATGGTTAAAGGAGAGACATGGAGAGGGTGCAGAGATTGATTGGAGTTTAGATGTACCTGCCGTAGAAGCGGGTGTTTAGGGTGCTGTAGGATTTGGTGAGAGACGATGATCCAACGGGTAATCTGGTTCTCGGTTGGTGTAGAAACGCTCTTGTTTTCAAAGGATGATTGTTCAAAAGGGAGTTGGGAATTATGGATTGGGTACTGAAAAAATTAAGAAGCTACGACGACGGAGTCTCCCTGGTTACATGAGTTCAATTTGTCTTTTAATGATAAAGGCTTTTGTTAAAACAGGTTCAGATATGAAGATAATCGGAGCAACTGGTCTATCTCAATGTCAAGTAACTAAAGGTCGTACATATTATGCTGTATAATATAGAATGTTACGATCATCTACCTTTAACCCCATGAGGGACTTGTAACGGCTTTCTGTATGTGGTACATCGTCGCGCAAAATCTGTTGGTACCCATTTTACTTTAATATTTTGAGTCCTATCAAAGTATTCTCCTATATATTCGTGTAAGCTTGTTGGCAGCTATGAGATGCGTTTATTCTCAAGCTGAGAACGTACAGCATGAAACATTTCGTCTCTTAATCCATCCTACTCATCGAAGTATTTACTGGTGTCTTATTACTTCCAGACTTTACTACCTTCCCCGTTTTCTTATTTTAACTAAACAACGACGGAAATTTTGACATCCAAAAATATGGCACAATTCGAGGATATAGCCTTTAATATTGCAGCTTTCATCAGTGGACTCTTTGTCCTTGAATTTGGCGCTGACAAGTTCATTGATAATGCCGCCAAAGTGGCAGCTCGATTGAATGTATCACCGACATTAATTGCGTTGCTCACATCAGGGGCAGAATGGGAAGAAGTATGTGAAAATATCCATTCGATTATGTTTTAAGACTGACATGGATAGCTCATCGTGGTTGTAGCCGCCATCTCACAGCATCAATCTTCACTCGGGTTTGGTAACATCGTCGGATCATCCATCTCAAATATTCTAGGTGCTTTTTCTCTCGGTCTCATCTTTTCTCCCAGCTCTATTACTTTCGATAAGAGTTCTAGGATTTATACTACTATCCTTCCCCTCATTACTACACTCTTTTCGATATTTGTCCTTTTCTTCGAATCTATGGGGAAAATGGTAGGAGCGATGCTTATCACTGCTTTTGGTGTATATGTCGCTTCCATAACATATGCAATATATAAAGGCATTGTGGAAGCTCCGGAGGATGACTCGGATAGTGATAGTGATACTTCTTTAAATGAGAGGGACTTTGATGAAATTCCTTTTGAAAAGTCACGTTCTTCCATGCGCTCAGGTAGCACTAGATTGCAAACCATATCACGCAATCACGATGATTATGAAAATGTTCCACGGCGAGAACTTTCTGGCGAGGAACACGAGGAAATCAGTTTGAACCCAAATTTTAAATCTCAGCGAAAGATACCCCGTTCGACTCTGTATCATAGCGTACACCTCATATTAGGTCTTCTTGCTCTTTCCCTCTCCGGATACATTCTATCTCATAGTCTTACGTCTCTCGCAACGTCACTTTCCCTATCCACTAATGTTCTTGGCACCACCATCCTGTCTATCGCGACGACTCTTCCGGAAAAGCTCGTCGCCATACTCTCCGGGAAGAGAAGACAGGGAGGAATCATCGTGGCGAACACAGTCGGTTCAAACACCTTTCTATTAACACTTTGTGCAGGCATTTTGTTTCTTGCTGGTGATCTAGAGGCTTTAAAAGAGAGCGTGGGAATTTTTGAAGTGGCTTGTATGTGGGGTTCTAGTGTAATACTTTGCGGAGTTTTATTCGTGGGGGGTCGAAGATGGATGGGTTGGGGATTGGCGGGCTTATATTTGGCGTTTTTGGTGGGTGAGTTCTTGATGGTTCGGAGATGATCTTCATTTATATGAAATCAACGCTATAACGTTAGCTATTTGGTGAAGACAATTGCGAGCAAGCCTAAGAGCTATTTTGATAACATATGATAGAATTTTCGGCACGAGATAGCTAGGCGGGTGGAAATGTAAGTCTACTTCTGCCTGAAGAAACGGCACAGTGTTTATATATTTCTTCACCTCCGTCACATTACAAGGAAGCCGTATGCCCAAAGTTTCACTGCATACCTTTCATCCAGTGATGGATGTCAATCACATGTCCGCGCATTCAAAGGGGAGCAAAAGAAAAGGGGGAGGGCGGCTCGCAACGGCAGAATGTGTAATTGAGCTGAAGGAATTGGCAATATTGTCCTACCACACATCACAGTGGTGGATTTATCCAGTGATCAGATAATTCAATTGCAAATGTCTTGGCTCGAAGAAGCCTTTGGGATGACGGACACAGGTATCATTGGAATTTTTCTGGTAATTTGATATCGAAATGGACAGACGTGTAATATGGTTCTTCTGGGATTCGAGGATATAAGGGGTGTCCTCCTCTCAAGTAGTTCTCAAGGAATCAAGCATGGACCAACCCACAATTCGCATTTCCTTAGCCGAACCTACAAACTCCAGTCTCAAGTCAAAACAATACATTGAAAAGAAATCTAGCATCATTATTGTGGTCAATAATGAACCTCAAGACTCTTCCTCAAGTTCAAGTTCTTCCCAACAGTATCTCCCTCTACGATATGCACAACGAGTAGCAGGATTACTATGGAAGTTTGCCAAGTTCACCGGCCCTGGTGCTATCATCAGCGTAGCATATATCGATCCCGATAACTACCAGTCAGACCTAACAGCAGGTGCAAAGTTCGAGTATAAATTGCTTTGTGCGGTGGCATTTTCTAATCTTGTAGCTATTTTCTTACAGATGAGTTCTATCCATAGATATGAAGTTCGACAGAAGGTTTTCTAATGGAAAGACAGGCACTCTCAACAAAGCTAGGATGCGTAACTGGTATGGACTTGGCTCAGATGAACAGAGCTCATTTACATCCTTGGTTGAATATTGCTTTGTGGATTCTAGCAGAAGGTGCAATTATATGTACTGATATTGGACAAGTAATTACTTTCTTGTTCTATTCTCATCCATTCATACACGGAGGAATCTTACTTCTAGTTTAGGTGATCGGTACAGCCATTGCACTCAATTTACTCAATCCTAAGATCACTCTAATAGCTGGATGTGTGATCTCCGTTTCAGACACTCTTTTTATCTTGTTATTTTATAAGCCAGATGGCTCGATACGACGTCTACGGATTTTCGAAATGTTCATCTCGGTATTCGTCGTGGCTATTTTTGTTATGTTCTGTATAGAAATTTCTTTTATTACGGCTCCCGCGAATGAAGTTTTCAAAGGTCTACTTCCCTCCAAAACGATATTCGTGGGTCAAGGGTGAGCACTCCTCCTCCATTCTTCATCCAATACTAATCAAATACCATTAGACTCTTCCAATCCTGCGCCATTTTAGGCGGAAACATCATGCCTCATACAATCTACCTCGGATCCGGTCTCGTCCAAGCCCGAATGCGTGAATTCGACCACAAAAATGAAAAATACCACGAAGTCCGTACATCCAACGCGAGATTCGCAATCATGCTCTATCGACCCACCCTCTCTGCTATCAAATCATGCATGTCCTACACAATTGCCGAACTGTGCATAACTCTCTTCATCGTAGCCAACTTCGTTAATTCCGCCATCCTCATCGTCGCTGCGGCAAGTCTCTCTGAAGAAAATCAAAATGCGGATTTACCAGGTATGTATCAACTTTTCGTAGACACGATCGGTCAAGCTGCAGGAACCATCTTCGCAGTAGGATTGCTATTCTCGGGAATCAGTGCGGGGATTGTAGCGACGATGGCGGGACAGCTTATTTGTGAGGGTGCGATGGATTGGCGTTTATCGCCGTTTGTGAGGAGATTGGTCACGAGGTGCATTTCGATTGTTCCGGCTGTGGTTGTTGCGGCGGCGGCGGGTCAGAGGGGTTTGGCGAAGGCGTTGATGGTCGGGAATGTGGTGTTGTCTGTTTCGTTGATTTTTGTTACGGCGCCGTTGGTTTGGTATACGAGTGCTGAGAGGTTTATGAGGGTTGGGGTGGAGGATGGGGATGGGGTTGTGGGGATGGGGTCGGGTATTGTGGGGGGTAGATTGAGGGATGCGGACGCTAGGGAGGATGGAAGGGGTGACGCTGGGATAACTGTCAGTTTGGCTAATGGGTGGCTGGTCACTGGGGTGGGTTGGTTGCTTTGGTTTGTGGTTGCTGGGATGAATTTTGCGCTTTTGACGTTTTTGGGGTTGGGAATTGGAGGGGATGATTAGATGGTAGAGGAAGTACAAAGCGCTGCGTTCAAGACGGTTAGACGGAAGGAAGGTCCAGGAATTGAAAGGTGCAGGGTGCGAGATGAGCAAGGGGAAACAGGTTAGACGAGGAAAGAAGAAGAAAAATTATATGCAACAAGGCGAGGAATACATTGCCGTGATCAGTCAATGCATACACTTTCAAGAGTTCTTCCCATCACAAGTGTTGATCAAAATTTCATAGTAATACGACAAGTGAAAGATAAGCTATCCAACAAATATCACAATTTCTCAAACTCCGTCGCTCCTTCATAAGGCTGCAAATAATTATCCTTCAACCACTCAAGTTCACCCTCCACCACCCCAAAATTAAACGCAACACGACTCTTAGTACTTTTATTCGCCTCACTCGTATGCATAAGATTCCCATGCATCAAAATCAACGTCCCAGCCTCCACCTCCAACTTCTCATACACCAACTCCCCAGCCTCATTCCTCCTCGGCAAACTCTCATCCTTCACCCCCTCAACATGTACATAAACCGGGTATTCCAAATCCACAAATTCCGGCTTCCCATCTACATTCTTACAACGTCTCGTAATGGGCTGTACACGATGACTTCCCGGCGCAACAGCCAAACATCCATTTTCTACCGAGCAATCTTCTAGCGCGTACCAGAATGTCGTGCTTGAAGAGGGATTTGTGAAGCCGGAACAGCCGTCTTGATGAGGTACGACGCGTGCTCCTATTTCCCCGGCTTTGACGATAATCAGACTTTGGATGATGCGGGGATCTTTGTAGCCGAGGGATTTGGCGAGCGTAGAGTGGAAGGGACTTAGGATTGTTTTGCGGAAGGGAGGCATGACGCGGTGGATACCGCAGCCGATACGTTGGATGCGTTTGAGAGGTTCGACGGAGGGTTTGAATGCATCTTTTGTGGTATGTTAGTGATGTGATGAATTATAGAACCAGAAAAGGTGAAAAATGAAGTACTATACTTACAATCGCTTAAAGTAGCAATAGCTCGACCGCATGGATGAACGTAGGATTTCTGTCCAGGCAGATACGAATGTTTCTCTACTCGTTCGTCACCGCTAGCAAGGGCTTCAGCAGCCTCATGCACAGTTTTAAGTAAGAGATCTTTTTGCTCTTTGGGCAATGCATTTGGAATTACCAAATACCCGTTGTCTTTCCAGAATTGTAATTGCTCCTCGCTCAAACGACCTTTTTTAGATTCGTCGACACTGACTTTTGTCCCGGATTGCATTATGGAACCGATGATTGGAGCTCCATAAGATGATTTTTGAGTGCCCTTTTCAAAGGTGTTTTTGGTGGATATGGCTACGGGGATGGATTGGCCTTGAAGTAGGGCTTTTATTTGGGTGGCTTGTGCTTGGGAGTTTAATTTTAGAATTACCGGGATGCCGTTGGTGATGGTGTTTTCAGGAGAGTGTAGTTCTAGTAGTTGTGTTTTCATCTCTAGAACATCAGGAATGGCTTCGGTGATTGCTTCGGGGGAGTGTAATTCTAGTAGTTGAGTTTTCATCTCCAAGACATCGGGAATGGCCTCCGTAATAGCATCTTCCGAGCGATGATTACCATTGAGAGATACTGAGTGGCCTTTCATATTATCAGGGTACTTCAGCTCGAGAGCGATACTCGTAGGACTTAGGGTATCAGAAACAGGATGCCCTTTTTCTCCTGAACCTTTCAAATGCTTCTGGTTGTTGTTCTGGTTGGTAAGCATTAATGCGAAAAGGAGTGGTCCATCCTCGCCATTGACCGACTGGTTATCGATTTCCTTGGTATCACCCTCCATAGGGGGCTTTAGCTCAAGAGCAATATGCGTAGGATTCAAGGTGTCAGAAACAGGATCACCTGTTTCGCCTATAATGTTTTTGTTGTTGTTGTTGTTCTGATTGTTGAGTAGCAATGCGAATAGAAGTGGTCCATCCTCACCGTGGAGAGATGATGAATCAATATCTTTCGCTTCTTCAACATCACTTCCAGCCGAGGCCGGCTCAAGGGCAAAATTTCCAGTATCCGAAGTATCAGTGATAGCTTTATCAGCTGCCGCGGATTTGTCGTTTTGGCCAAGCATCAACGCGGAAAGGAGGGGTCCATCTACAGATGGCCTCTCGGGAGAGGTATTTGTCATGAACACTGACATGATTGTTGGGAGAAGCAAAGATAGAAGTCAACGATAAGTTTCAGCTCTTAATCGACTTTTAAAGTTGCGAAATGGTGTGCGTTTACATACCGGGCTTCAACCCACTTCTCTTCTCTTCCCCACAGCAGCAACATCCACTATCGCATGGATCAATACCCTGAACCCCACTTCAACCTGCAGCTCATTTAGCCTACAGGAAGGTAACGAATAGAAGATATGATGCATATCACATTTTGGCCACAATCTTGGGAAAAGACACTTCGTAAGCCGATCGCATACGTCTGCTAGTTGGTATTTACTCTCATCCAATCGACACACAATGTTTGACATAAAAAGAGCTTCGACCCCACTCAAGCCCACTGCTCAGCGGCTTGTCAATAAGAACAGATAAGGATGATTTGAGAAGGTGGTGCATAAATTTAGAGAATGCTGTTTCATCAACCTTGAAAGGCTTCGCTTGTCTGCCCCATCGGATTCTCGCCTAACCGCCATCAGCCATTGACCAATAAGCAGTGATTAGGTTGAGCGAAGATTTAAAAAAAAAAAAACAAGGAATGGTGGGATGAGATTCAGAATAACGATCTTTAGACCCGGAAGAAAAATTTTATGGGTGGGATATTTGCTAGGTGTTCGCAGCATTTAATACCAGTCCTTTGCCGCACCCACTTAATGAGGCTCGAAACTATATTTCTGCTTTCAGTAACTTCTCACTACGTTCTTCAATCAACCCAAATACGTTTGTAATCTCTACCTCTTCTTTTTTTCAACAGCTCTCACAACATTGTTTCTTAAAAATCAATCAATATGGCGCCTCATCATAACCATCCCCTACACGTACAGCACAAAAAACATGGCGACCATGACCACATCATGAAACGTCTAGACGGCTACATCAAAGCATACAGAAAAGGAGACACGGAAGCCATAATGAAATATTACCATCCAGACAACTTTGTCTACTCCGACTTCAGTGCGTGTTCACCCCAATCACCCATTTCCTTTCCCTTCCGGCAATCGCAATTCCAAAACCCCAAAATCTAACCTAACACCTCCTAGGCACATCCGATCGCCACCTAATGGGACTTTCCGAAGTAGCCTCCCACTACTCCAACACTTTCAGCAATTTCCACGATCTTACTATCACCACCCTATCCGTACACGGACACAAAGATTTCACAGCGTGGGAATGGGAAATCACGTGCAAACCGGCTGTTTCTCCCGAGACAGGGGAGCGATTAGAGAAGGAAGAGGCAGAGTTGAAGAAATTGATGGGTTGTACGTTGATGTGGTGGGAGGATGATAAGATTGTGAGGAATCATGATTATGTGCAGGTGAAAGATGTTTAGTATGTGGTTTTGGGGAGAAGGGTGCGGGGGAAAGGAAATGGAAATGGAAGTGGAAGTGGTTTTGTCAGGGAAGGGGTTAACGAACATTTCTCTTTGACGGACCTTGAAGATCAATTGATCGTGCGTTTAACAGAAAATGACATGTAACTTGAGCATTTTTATTTTGGGCGCGATTGCGACGGAGAAAGCTTGAGGTGCGAGAAAGTCTTCTTGGGATTGGCGAAGCCTGCTACTACTTCGTATTGTATTTATTTCCGTATTTTTGAATTCTAATTATCATAAAGTATCAGAGATCAGATCAAATGACAACTCCATCGTTTGTACTTAATTCAACAAAAAAATTGCAAAAACTCAGAGATGCTCGCAAAATCAGCTGTGTGAATGTGTGTGTGTAAAATTTTTACATGAATCGCAACAACGCTATCAAGTGCATGTAGATATGTATACAAAGAATCATCTCCTCCACCTTCTTTATGTCTTTTTAATTTTAGGAATGCTGTAAGTTTTTACAGTATTCTATTCATCAAGTTCGTAGCCAAATGGGCAGGTATCATCATCATCATCGTCACCACCAACAACAACGCTAGTAGCCGTCGAGGAAGCAGATGTTGTAGCTCCCGAGGTAGTCGAGCCCGGGGAAGTACTGTTGCGACCAGATGGATAAGGAGTAGTAGTGTTATTAGAAGAAATAGTCTTTCCACTCAACGCCAAGATCTTCTGCGCGGCGTGCTCAGCAGCAACCATAACAATAGCCTGAGTATTACCAGTGGGCAAATCAGGATGGATAGAGGCATCCACCACGAAAAGATTATCTGTTCCCCAAACCTTGGTATCGGTATCAACGACGGAAGATCCGTCATTGCTTTCGCCCATAATAGTAGTACCGGTGAAATGAGCACCAGTAACGTAATTCCCAGCAGAGACCAAAGAAGAACCAGTGATACTGCTATCGGTGGGTTTGAGTATAGTACTGCTCTTAGCGGCGTTGAGGAAGTAGTCGATTATGTTTTCCATGGCGGATCGATCGTCAGCGGTGTTCATCCATGGGTTAGTCGTAAATTCTGTAGCGCCGGCGCTGGTGACTCCAAGAACGCCGGTTGATGTCAAACCGTGGGTAAGGTAGAGCTTGATGCGGACTTGACCTTCAGCGGGGGAGTTACAGGTTCCTTGGAAGTATTTGATGCCATTAGTGGTGTTGAGGGATGTCCAGAAGTTTAATCTTTGACCGGACTGAACGAGTGGACCACTCTGTTGGGCAAAGAGATCAACATTGGCGGTGCTTGGAGAGGTGAAATCAGTCGACATCATGGAGGTGGCGTTGCTAGCTATAGAACCGGTGATGTTAAAAGCAAGGGTAAAGATTGGGTGGTCCTTGAGATTCTTTCCAACCGGAAGGTTGATCCAGTCAGATTCAACTGGCATAGTAACACAGCTGCTTCCATTTTTAACGATGTTAATCTGATCAGCTGGACCAATACCACTGTTAATCAAGATACGGGGAGTAGACATGGCTCCACCAGCGAGGATGAGTTTACCACCTGTATTAAGGTTAATGATTTGACGGACACCACTGCTGGAGTTCTCAACTTCAACACCAGAGAAGGTGGAGCTCGTGCTGTTGGAAGTGCTTCGGATGCCTCTAACAACCATGGTATTGAATTGAGCCTTGAAGTTGGTCATAGCAGTAGCAAGAGGGTAGTAAGACTTGACTGGCCCAGCACGAAGACCATCCTGGATATCCCATGGGGGATGAGAGTAAACTTGAGTCTTCTCGTTTGGTGATTTGATAGCATCAACTTCGGACCATCCAAGGCCACCCAAGAATGAAGAGAAAACGTTCCATGCGCTTTGGTCATATCGTTGAGAGTTCGCAGTAGGATTGGTAGTACCTGGATTACGCTCGTAAAGTCGATCGGCGGATGCACTGACATCGGTCCATTTCCATCCGGTTGGCCATTTGTCATCGAAATCAACTTTTTGTGGGCGGACGAACATCAGTGCATTGACCATAGTTCCTCCTCCAAGAAGACATCCAGCCATTGATGCAGTGTCCGGGCAGTATTCATCACTGACAGAGGCGGTTGTGAGATAGTATGCCATGGAAGGAACATCATATTGGGTAACGGTGTCGTTCCATGGGACAGTGGCTCTACCTCCACTTGCATAAGTGGAAACATTTCCTCTTTCCAACATCAAGACAGATGCACCACTCTCTGCGAGACGCTCTGCGACTATGATACCCGCTGGGCCGGCACCCGCGATGATATAGTCGTAGGTTGAGTTAGAAGTAGACACGGCATTGTTTGAGCAAACTTTGGTGGAGTTAGATGCGGCTGTATTGCTTGCAGTGACATTGCTAGCCGTGGCAACCCATGTGGCGTAGTTGATGTTCACAGCACTGGCGGTTTGGATAGCAAAATTACCAAATCCAGTACCGTGGTAGGTGAAAGTCGCATCATTCGCAGATGCAGCATTTGTAACAGTGCCATTGCCAAGAGCCCATCCAACGATGACTTGGCTAGCACCAGCAGCCATGGTATAAGTGTTGCCAATGCAAGCCTGGCAAAGGAAAGTGTATGACATATGAGTTGAGTTGACAAAGGTACCGTTCGCAATCGGCAATAGCTGTGCCGTGTTGTTCGCGTAGACACCTGGAGAAGTATATCCACTAGTCTCGCGCAGCGATGCGATAACATCAGTTCCACTAGGCCAGGCGACAATCAACATACTACCAACCATAGAACCAGTTAATGAAACACCTCCATAGCCTGAGCCAGCTGTGCTTGGAAAGACCTAGTTGCTTTTAGTTTCCTGTGCAGTGATCATAGAACGTATTTATCCTTACGATTTGACCGATGAAGTCAGACGTAGCATTGGCCTCCATGACCATACCAAACTTGAACCCAGTGGTGTCCGTAGCACCTTGGAATGTGATACCTGTGTTGGTGTCCACATATGAAGTAGCTGTTTGAGCAAGAGCTCCGGCGGTAAAGCCAAGGGCTAGTAAAGAAGTGCGCATTTTGAGATTTTAGATTTGTTCCTTGTGGTGGTTATATTTGAATGAATGAATGAATGTGATGTGATGTTGCTACCTTTGAAAGGTGGTTCCCAGACCTGAAAATGATAGTTTAAGAAAAGAATGTATACCATCAAGGTAACAGGTCAAAAGAGTGCATAAGAGAAAGAATGGAGAGGAAAGAAAGAAAAATTTCCTGCTTTACAGAACGCAGATTCGACTATTGTGCAGATAGAAGCCTTTTGTACCTCAAAACGCTCGAATAACTTTCATTCTTGTTGAATCCATCAGCATCACAATGAACCCCGCCGTCAATGGCTTAGAAAGGCTTCATTCGTCAACTTCATCTATTTGAATCTGGACTGATGCGCAGTGTCCCAGCAAAATCTGGTAACATATTACATGGTAGATTGAGATAACTAATTGCTCTCTTCCGTTTGTTTCGTTTTCGTCGTCTATCTACTTGGCAACATTTAGAACTGCATCAAAATAGGAAAAGTACACCACGCCGCTGTCATCAGATGAATTTATATTGAGGGGTAAATTGGATGGACGTCATCTAGACAACTTTGATAGGACCACCCTTGTTCCCACGTTTCAAAAACTTTCTTTCGCTTATTCTGACGTTTCAGACTTCCTTTTTTCCTGGTTCAGGGGAGCCGGAGCTTTGCGACCCACTCGAATCCCATATTTGGCCTATATTTCAAACATCCATCTGAAAAGACTGCAAACTAATCCGGGATGAAGTTCCTGCAAGTAAAAACTTGGCTTATATGGTGGTTTCAAAACCACAAAAAAGGAAGATATTTATGGAAATACCACCGCAATTGAGCAAACCAAGCGACGAAATCATAAAAGCACATTCTTCGTCATCGTAATTCATGCACAATGAATTAGATTTCCTTCTCGATACTTTAGACAAATCAAGCATCTAACCAGATTGATGACATGATCGGACCTATTTGGTAATTGAAGTAGAAAAGGAAAAGAGATTTCGTACCATAAGGATTTGATTGATTAGTGGGTGTGTTAAAACGTTCTTCCATTAATAGGGCATATGTGGATACTGTAGAGCGCGTTTCCATCTCAACTTTCAAAAGGATCCGGTGGGCCGCGGCGGGAATCCGTGACTTTTGACAGGGACTTCAACGTCATGGAATTTGCAAGGTTTAGGATAATCGGAAACTTTTCCATCTATCCGTTGATTTTCCCTGGATAAATATTTCTTTGGTCTGTCTTGCCGAAAAGGGAGATATTGTAGAACCTCGCTCGCTTCGGACAGGATGCAAGCTATATATCTGGAAAAGGCGTGGCGTCAAATGTACAGATAAGATTTCAATTTCATGTCTTGGCCAAGATACCATGATCTTTAATCTAGAGGTAGAGAGTGTCCAATGACGAGAGAAAAGCCATGCAACGGAAATCATTCCACAAAATATGGATCCAGTCTATTATTGTAAGGTTACTCGAGTATCGATGGAATCTTCTTCCTTCGACTCCACTTGCAGGTATCGTTTGGACGATGCCAATTCGATGTTTAATCTGAGCGTTGGAAACTTTTGAAATCGTTGTCCGATATTGTTGTTAGTATGTTTGTCTCGGTGTCGCACCTCTCGAGTCTCATGTTTCTCCGATCAGATGAGTGTTTTTGAGTACAGACGGGGAGGTTTATCACATATGTTCGTTCACAGGAGCAAATTCTCTAGTTTTGGCTTGGATGGAATAAAATCGTTTGTTTGGAAAACGACCACCTAGCGCCACATTGTGTGTCTGATTCGCGGTCACATGATCATAAACTCCATGATAACTCCCAGTCAACTTGGAAGACTTAAGATTCATCATTCATATATAACAATCTTTGGATGCACAAAGTACTCCTTATATTTGATGCAATACGCCTTAGCTGAATTTCTCATACAATAAACATCTTCTTTCTGTATCTACCGAGATGTTTGTCTACACTGATATCAATCTTTTATGGAGCTGAATTCGAAAGCATGCGCAATGTCACACTATCAATCACTCTATAGCTTGCATTCGCATCGCTAAATCCGCATACCTCAAAAAATTATGAAGAAGAGCTCATGAAGCTTGGCTCTCCCAAGCTATTTAACCTTCCGGCATAACTACAAGTATCTCGTCTAAGTCTACGCTGTTTGACATGCACTCTCAAATGTTAATAGGCATATGAAAAAGCTCATCCCTCCGGAAGCCTTAAACAACATAGTAAGCGTGATTCTCAGGACGACAGATTGGATATCCACACGGATGTGCGCATAGACTCAACTCTGATACAATCGCATCAAGCGCTATCAGCCCGTCAATCATCAATATGGGAAAAGCCAGCACGAAAGAGATGCTATTATGTTGAAGCTCAACAACTGTCGCTACAACATCATTCTATCTATGCAGACTGATAATTTGGACAGCCAGTGGTCTTTCCTTCCTTAAAGGATCGAAGATGGAGGTATGACGAGTAGAAGAGCTGACCCCTCATGTCATCAAAATTCGAGCTAATCTATCACATCAACCTTATATTCATGGATGTTAAGTACATATTATGAAAACATGGACCAATTGAGGGAGTAACTCGTTCTATTCCGTGGTTGCGTAAAGTTAGCAGGCTCTAGTGCCCATTGGTTTACTTTTGTTCAGGTCTGTTGACAGAATAACTTACGGAGGAGAGGTCACCCGGAGAATACGAATTTTATCAACCGGTAGTCAACTGGACCAGGTAGGAACTAGTTTGCATTGAAGGGTTGAAGTTTTGATTATTTTAGAATGGTGTAAAATCGTTGAAGATATACTAAGATCTCTATCGATCTTAGTCGCTGTGCAATTCAAGCCCTGAGCTACATCATTTCTTGTAGTATAACAAAATGGTTTTCTGGTTTTATTGATGTTCTCTATGAGGTAAAGTTTCTTAACTAGTTAGCTACCTGTTCAGTTTCATATTACCTTGATTGATATAGAACAGCTATACCTGGGACAGTTTGGCCGGCATGATCAAATAAAACACTCTACGTCACGGTTTGTATCTGTTTGCTGTATATATTTTGGGTAACTATATATCTTAACCTTTCTGATATTGAGCTTGTGGTAAGATATTGAATGCATTTATTGTCTCTAGTCGTCTTAAGCATATTCAAATTTCATTATCTACTGTATATGTGATGCGCAGTATGTACCTTAAATGTCATTTTCCAATACAATCAAGGATTCTTTCGTCACAACAAATTTTGAAGAAAAATTATTTTTCGAAATACACCCTTTTTATATCTCATTTGCACTAAAAAAAATCAGCATCAATCGAACGCAATTGTCCCCAAAGAAATTGAACCAGTAGTTGTTGTGATACTGTCGTCGACGTCCAAAACACGTGAAACCACGCTAAAACGCGTGAAATTTTCACCCCCTTCATCAATGACGGGGACCACTCAATCGAACTTCCCAAAAGTGATCTTAGGCACTCCATGCCAAGTGAACCACACTGAACAAACCCATGAAAGAAGCAATAGCCCGCCATTCATCCTCTCCAGTCCTACCCCCTCCCAACCCTTCAACTTTCAAACCCAGTGCAATACCTTGAGCTCTGATGATCCATTCAAATCACCAATCAATCGCCCAACGCTCCAATTCAATAATAAACGAAGACAACCACCCAGCCACTCAGAACCCCATATCAACTCACCAAAAGAAGCTATCCAAAAAGCTAGAAGTCTACTCATTCTAGCTGCCTCCCTAGAAGAGGATATCGAAGAACAATCGAAAGTCCTAGACTTAATCGAAATATTTCGTGAATATCTTGAAAAAGGAAAACTTACAAAAGCCTCAAATATCATCACATCACAAATCTCCCATCTAGAAAATGCTACCAAACGGATCGAAAAGCAAGCCAACCACCTTTCAAACCTTCCCAATCATACAATCCCCCCTACAATAAACACCCCTGGAACCAAAGCCAACTATGCCACTATCACCAAAACCTCAGGAGAATGGAACCTAGTTACAAAGGGAAAACCCACAAAACAGAAAACTACAGAACAAAAGGAAGAAGCCCCAAGCAAACGATTAATCCTCATCAAATCCCTTATTTATCAACCACACTCTTTTACATCATTAAATACAAGGAACAAAGTCAACGAAGCCTTCAAGAAAGCAGGAATCAATGGACCAATCATCTCAGCTATCACTACTACAAGGAGCGGCAATTTTATACTAACCACTAATAGCCCTTTCAATGCACAATTCCTGATGGAAAAGAAGGAAATCTGGGACAAAATCTGTTGACCTCCTGGGATCTTGGCAGCATATGCATATATATTGCATGATGCATATAAGGAGCAAACAAAACTCAACTTTTAATTCATTCTTTCCTTTTTGGTATACTGTTTGTTTGCTTTCAATATTTTGATTTCAAAGCACTTTAATTCCGAAGGCCGAATACCCAACCTATTCCTTCATTTTTTGAATATATGCTCGCAGCTTAACTGCTTAGCTAGAGAATCAATCAATTCAATCTGATGCTCTTTCTAGTCTCAAGAAACCCAACAACATGGCAATAGCTTATTTACCCACAGCAATATGACTACATCGGTGATGGCCAAGAATCTTGATACAGAAAACCGGTTGACCCCAAGTAATGCCTCATATCAAGATTTTTCGAACAATCTTCCCGTATGCCTTTAATAGTAGTGAAAACCACGTTAATTATATGACTAAGAAGATGACCTTCAAAGAGTACTTTATATACATGGGTAAAAATCATAGACACTAAAGTAGGCGACGAAGTGAATGGCGAATACACCCAGTGTCTTTAGAACATCTTTTCCGAAATACCTCTCTCCCAGCTATTAATAAGGCTCATTATGCCCCCATAAAGGACAAAAACCAAAAAGAATGCCCAAAAAGTGCAGAAAAAATGGCACAGGCACAAATCTTGAAGACAGCTCAACATAAATTTCCATCGGAATGATCAAGAAGATTAAATCGAATCAAAAGAGTATAGCATAAAATCTAAACAGGAAGCCAGAAAGCCTAGTTCTCATTATCAAATATCTAATACATTATAATTATCAATAACACTACTCATCAGCGACATAATTATGTCTCCCAAAATCGACATCAATATCTACCCCCTTTTCGCCTAATCATGATCTTAGCAAATAAATTTCTACTCTTCCTAGGTATTATCTAATCATACAAATACGCAAGATCTCACATATACATCAAATGCAACACTATTTATATTTTTAACCTCTCAAGCAACCCTGTCTACATCTCTTACTATCTACCTACCTACGGAGTACCTACCTACCTACCAACCCTCCACATCCACAAACCATCCCAATAACCAACCAACATACACTCAAGCATTCAATATCCCAGTTACCATACTTACATACATACACCAATACCAATCACAATACCAATCACAATACCAATCACAAAAACAATAAGATATCATCACACAATTAAAGTTAAAATCACCAGATAACCATCACACAACTACCTAATTCCATCATACTCTACTATTTTCCGTATTAGATAAACAAGTACATTCCCCGGATAAAAAAAGAGTTTTTAATTGAGATTTATTATACGGAATATTTTCTTGCTCTGATAAGATTTTATATCTTTATAAAAGAATATAAAAGAGGGTAAAATTAAACTTATAAAATTGATAAATACTCGATAGGTAGCAAGTGAGTATACTTGCTACTTGCTTTTATAGATCATAATAGTAAATAACAGAATCAAAAAGTTTAAAAATCAAAAAATTCCACATACAACTACCCCAGCAATTGATTTCCACACAAAAATTCCACCAAAGCTTCAGAATAAAAAGTTATCATTAATATATACTTTAAGATTGCGAGGCTATGAGTATCCTCTTATATTTTTAAATAGGTAGGTACGTAGGTAGGTAGGTATCGAGAACCATCTTATCTGTCCTCTTATTCTCAGATACACACAACTCCCTTAATACTCCTTTGTCCCATCATCCCACTTCGAGGCCTTTCTCAAGATCAATAAACCCAGCGGATCAATCAATCAATAAGCCTCCGCTGTATATTTCACCTCTCTTATAAGCTCAATATATGTGGCCGACCCTAACCAAAACACCATTGCTACGCTAACTCCTACCCGTGAATCCTCGCTCCCTATGCGATGCGTTCTTCCATCTCAATATTAGACAGATGTGCAAAATAAATAAAATTGATAAAACAAGGAAATTCCAAAAAAGTACATATGCAGAATGGGTATCGTTTTGCAACATTGCGAAGAAAAATGCACGCTCGCTATGCTCATCAAGCTCGCTCTCTGTAATCCGGCTGAGGCTGTGGTAATCTCTTTCCATCCAAAAATTGTCTCGGTGGTCTTCTTTCATAATATGGATCAGGATCTTGTCTCCTTTTCCTTTCTTCATATTCTGCTCTCTCTTCTTCGCTTAGACTGAATGCCTTTTTCAGCCATCCAAATGCGCTTCTCTTCTTTTTCACTTTCTTTCCATCTTCCATTGTTACGGTGGTCATATCACTCATAACACTCATCCCCATACGACTTGGTGCTACGGATCTTGATAACGAGCTCGGTACGCGTTCGTGATGGTGTACCGGTGCTGCAGTCCAAGGTCTTTGCAGTGGTGAATGTGGGGATGCGTTAACCGGACGAAAGAATTGTTTGTCCGAATGAGGTGAGGGGATAAAATCTCTTGATAACATGGCTGGGATCTCAAGTTCGTTACTAAAAGTTGGTGCTGAAACTGCCGAAATAGTAGATTGAAATGATGGTGACGGAAGGGTTTCTTGTATTGAACGAATGGCAACTGGAGGATCCGATTCGGAACAATATGCCGAATCGACTCCACGGGATGGGGGTGTATCCGTCGCTAGTTCTGGTCGGCGTGGAATACTCAAAGGTCCTCCTGATCCTCCTGATCCTTTACGCTCTTCCCTTTTGCGTCCTTCATTATTACGGTCTCTGCTCCTTCCATCTTTATTTCTCCGCTCCTCTCTGTTTGGATCTATACTACGTTCTTCTCTGCGATGCTCTTCCCTAAGACGTTCTCGGCTGCGCTCCTCTCTAATTTTCTTCTCTCTTTGACGCTCCGCTCTATCAGCCGATAAATCCAAGGGTTCAACACGTCGCTGATCTGATCGATCCCGAGGACGAGCTACTGAACTGGGCTTCAAGTGCAAGGATGGATCTACCACAAGAGTCCGCAACTGAAATAATTTTTGGGGCGGAGAGTAAATTGGAGG